AATTTTTATTGGAGGAGATTTAAATGGACATGTTGGTAGAATGGTAGAAAATTTCAGAAATATTCATGGTGGCTACGGTTTTGGAGTGACTAATGAAGAAGGTAGAGTCATTTTAAATTTTTCTTTAGCCTATGATTTTATTATTACTAATACTTTATTCAAGAAAAGAGATGAGCATCTTATTACTTATAAGATTGGATCTTATAAAACACATTGATTATTTTCTTATTAGAAGAAGAGATCGTCGAGATGGTAAACATTGTAAGGTCATTCCATGTGAGGATTTAAATATCCAACATATCATTACTTCTAGATTTTAAGATGAAGAGTTGTAAAATAAAAAATACTCAAACTCATTATTGTAGAATTAGATGGGAGAACCTAAAAGACATAAATAAAATTATTTTTGAGTAAACTTCAAGATTTTAAAATTTGGGATGTTCATGAAGAAGCAAATGCTATATGAGATAAAGTAACAAACACTATTAACAAAGTAGCAAATGATGTACTTGAAGAATAAAAAAAAAGTTTCTATTAATAAAAATAGTTGGTAGTGAAATAATAATGTGCAAGAAAATATAAAACATGATAAGTTATGTTATAAAAATTGGTTTAAATGTAAAAGCTTAGAGAACTGAGAAAATATCAAATGCTATGTGTGATAAAGTAACAAACACTATTAAACAAATAGCAAATGATGTACTTGGAGAATTAAAAAAAGTTTCTATTAATAAAATAGTTGGTGGTAAAATAATAATGTGCAAGAAAATATAAAACATAATAAATTATGTTATGAAAATTGGTTTAAATGTAAAAGCTTAGAGAACTGAGAAAAATATCAAATGGCCCACAGGGAGTCTAGAAAAATAATCCGTGACACTAAAAATTCCGCTTTTAGTGATCTTCATAGTAAATTAGATACTAAGGAGACTAAAAAATATATGTTTAAACTAGTCAAACAAAGAGAAAAGAAAAGCAAAAATTTTACTTAAGTAAAGTGTATTAAAGATGAAAATAAAAAAGTGATTTTCTTAGAAAAAGATATTCAACATAGGTGGGTGAGACATTTTGATAAACTTTTAATGAAGTTTCCGAAAATACGATCGAATTTAGTGATCTCAAAATCGTTAATAACAATAAAACGTTACATTTTTTTCGTCGCATTAGTAAAAAAGAAGTTGAGGAGACTTTAATGAAAGTCAAGGGTGAAAAGCCTGTAGGACGTGATGATATCCCAATTGACGTGTGAAAATATTTAGGAGATTTGAGAGTTTCTTAGCTTACTAAACTCTTTAACATTATTTTAAAAACTAAAAAGATGCTTGAAGATTGGAGGAAGAGTACTTTGGTCCCCATTTTTAAGAATAAAGGGGATGCACGAAAGTGTGCAAATTATAGAGGAATTAAGTCGATGTGTCATACTTTCAAATTATGGGAGAGGGTAATTGAACATAGTTTAAGACGTATTACAAAGATTTCTCGTAATCAATTTGGATTTATACTAGGCAGGTCTATTATGGAAGCTATACATTTATTGAGAGGTTTGATGGAGAAGTTCAGAGATAATAAGGAGGATTTGCATTTGATTTTTATTGATTTTGAAAAAGCTTACGAGAGGTTCCAAAAGATATCCTTTGGAGAGTTCTCGAGAAGAAAGGTGATATGACTTATATTCAATTCATTAAAGATATGTATACTAGAGCTGTTACTTGTGTTCGAACTGAAGGAGGATTGATCAAATATTTTTCTATTTCTGTTGGATTACACAGGGATCGACTTAAGCCTATATCTTTTTGCTTTAGTTATGGATGGTCCTATTGGACATTTACAGGAGGATGTACCTTGGTGTATGCTTTTTGCTGATGATATCCTTCTCGTGGATAATACGAGAGAAAAAATCCAGGAAAAACTTGAATTATGGAGGTCTGCATTGAAGTCTAAAGGCTTTCATTTGAGTAGAACTAAAA